GTCACCTTTCTTTGGGATAGGAACAAATATCGATCTCTTCCAGTCAGTTGGCCAAGTGGTCGTTCTCACATCACCTATAGGAGTAGGAAAACAAACCCTGCATCAAGGACTTTAAGATCTAATGTCCCTTTCTGTCACCTGGTTTGGCCAGGGCAAGTGTCCTTCCTACATGAACTCTGATGAGAGCTCCCACACCTTGCATACATATATGGGTGGTGCCAGAAAACACACAATTATCAGGTTGTTTTTCATTACCAATGAATAACTATTGTCTAAATATGGGGCAGACAAGTTATTTTTTGGTTTTTTTTTTAACTGAACAAAGTATGTTAGTGTCATATAAAAAGAGGGGTATATTTTTACATTTATGTACATCAAATATTTTTATTTTTCTATATTCTTTTTAAATTTCATTATTTAATTTTATAATTCAATGGTAATTTATTATCTCATTTATTTCCTTACATACTTTCATATTATATTTTCTATTTTTCTAAATAGGAATGTTAATGATATTTTATACTGGATATGTTTAAGAGATATGTTTATTGCTCATTAAACATAGTGCTGTAATAAACTATTTTTAAAGGTTCATGCATTTTAAAATATAATGTATATTTTCACTCATTTTCTTTCCTTTTTGAATTTATCTTCAGAGTATGTCTCAGTAGAGAATATTTTAAGTTGAAAGGTGGAGTGTAAATGTTTTTAGGTCTGGATGCATATTTCTAAAATGATTATGTCCGTGTATACTGACAATAGTTATAGATTTACATAATAGTTGCATTAAGTTCCCAGTTACATTGAGTAAATAAATCTGTCACATTATTTTTGCTATAATATTTCTATTTTTTATTTTATTTCTAATCCAATAAATTCTTCTACTGATGAAGTCTTTCTGTAACAACACAAAATAAATTAACTGAGAGCTTCAAATACTAGAAGGTAGAATCAAGTGAAAATTCATGAAAAGAATAACATACAAGTAAGTGTAAGCTATTCTTTTTCAACAGATCCTCCTCACAGGATATCCAATTGTCCAAACAAATAAACAAAACATGATTAAATACGTTTTTTTATTCCCAAGTAATCTCTCTCTCCCTCTTTTATTTTAAAAAAAATTTTTTCTTCAGAGTTGAAGCATATTTCTTCATCACTTGTTCAGGAACTTTCTGCCTCTCCTTATGTGAAAGAGGAGTATTGTAAAAACCCATGTCTTTGTTCCACAGTAAAGTAAGCAACATTCTTGTGTTTCTTTGCAGCCACTTCTGACAGCACAGCAGTTGGCCTCTGCTGTGGCTGGCGTGATGCCTGGAGGCACACCAACTCTCAACCAGCCTATCCTCATTCCCTTCAACATGGCAGGACAGCTAGGAGGGCAGCAAGGGCTGGTCCTCACACTTCCTGCAGCGAATCTCACAAACATCCAAGGGCTGGTAGCAGCAGCTGCAGCTGGAGGCATTATGACTCTGCCATTGCAAAATCTACAAGGTAATCTATTGTTTCCATGTGCCATGTAGGGCTCTAACCACTTTGGATTTCTGCAGTGGTTAGGGAAAGTGCCCTGAATGATGAATGTGGTTTAGATGGCCTCTATCTGGAGAGGCTATGAATCTTGTCCATAGCAAAGTCTACCTAGAAGCAAAGTTTCAAATTGTCTGAATCTTGATCTTGCTCAAACAATAGGCTTCATCAAGCCTCAATTCATAAGTTTGATCTTGACAATTTTTCAGTGTCTTGAAAGCCTTTATGAGCAAACATTACGTGAAAATATATTTTAACAAATAAGTGAAATTACTGTAGAATTCAGTAATTTTCTACTGGAAAACCCAAATTACAACCTCACAAATTCGACAAAAAAAATTAGATATTACTTCTTTCTAGTTGGAATTATTAAGAATAGACCAAATTCAGGCATTATTTGCAACAGTTAATTTACATTTTAGTTGTATGTCTTAAAACTTGTGTTATTTTGGGTTATATTTTATAATGAGAAAGATATATTTTTAAATATATATTTTTAAATAAGAGTAATCCCAATTTTATTTAGGAAGAGACATTCTTTTGCTATACTGTAGAATTTTTGACTTAGAAAAATTTGCCAATATTAACTTATTATTCAATTACAAAAGAGTATTGGAGCAAGAATTATTTTGATGGAGAAGTGTTATGAATATGATTAAGAAACCTAATTTAAGCACAAACGCACATTTATTTTATAGAAATTTATTTTGGACTTGTCAAAGAGACTTGGTTTTCCATTGACATAAAGCCTAGCAATTCATTTTTAGGGGTGAAGATAAGGTTTAATTCATTTAGTTATCATAACCACAATTTAAAGTGGTGTTTCAGGGAGATACCACTTTGGACCTTTTTGTAGGTTATGGAGTTGGTGAGCACATCGTACACAGATGAAGAAACAGGCCTGTAAGAACTAGTTAACTTGATTATTGCTTGATTTTCACTTTAATGTTTTAAACAATTTCTCTTTCATACTCTTAAATTGTGCCAAGGAACCTGCCATTCATAAATCATGCATGCCCAGGATACACTAATGCACAAACTTTGCTTGTTTCAAATTTAAGAGTGCCTGGAAAGCCAGGACCTAGGATTAAGCAAATAAGGCAAGCATATACAAGGTGAAAGCAGGAGCAGCAAAGTGTAAGGAGAAGCTTTTTAATGTAGATGGATTATGAAATCTTAATGAAGAAATGGGCATTATCGAAATGCAACCTTCCACTTGGAACATTTGTGCTTATGGGACATGGGAGAATAGAATATTATAAATAAATATAAAGCTCACAGAACTCCTAGATCATGAATTAAATCTGCTTGGTTAAGATAGATTCTAAAGTTAGAGCCCCTCAAAACAGGCTTAGTGGACCTCTTATTGTAAGAGTTGAAAATTAGTGACCTGGTACAGCATAGACTTTCATCAATAATTTATCTTTGGGATTTTTTAATTGTTTTATATAACTTTTAGCTTACACTGATTGTACTTAGGGCTTTTTTTACATGTTTGTTTTCAGAAAATAAATTCTCAGTTTTGTTACCTAATGAAACAGGCTCAACTAAAATTTTTTATTCTTATTTTCACTTATGAATCCATTTATCCATCAATATCATCTTCAAAATTGTATGGTAGTTACTGGTCGTTTTGCACACAAAATATCTTCAATTTAGTGTTTCCCTCCAACTTTTTTTTTCCTACTGGCTTATTTACAAAGTTCTAATACATTGTTTTCCACACCAGATCTTTCTCATTTCCTTCATCCCACACACCCATCAAATTGCACAACCCTATAATTAAACACACACACACATACACACACACCATCCTCACCCCTCTGCATTTCCCCCTTTGTCTCCAATCCTCAAATGCTGATGATGGTAGGATTGAGTGGTGGTGGTAGATGCTGTCTAAGTATGGTAGAGGTAGTGATTGTTATGGTGATTGTTAGATGTTGTCATGTTGAAGCTGATTTACAGTGATCTGATCTGTTTGTTGTGCTGGCAGCCGATTGTATATTCCCTATCCTTCCTAACACCATAATTGAAAAACATGGACTCTTCTGCAGTCATCTTTATTAGTCATTCAGCTTTCCCATGTACATGAAGTGATTGAACATGCCATGGCTTTGATAAGGCATACCTTTGTCCTGAAAGTAACTTCTTTGCTTTGAAACATTTAAAAAAAGTCTATTGCATTTTATTTCATTATTGTGTGAGTGTACCATAATTTTTCAATCTCGTTGTGGTTAGATATTTGGGCTGTTTCCATGTTCTTCCTATGGTAAGTAACACTGCTATGAGCGTTGGTATACAAATCTCCATTTATGTCTCAGTTCTAATTTCCTTGGAGTATATTTCTACTAGGGTAATAGCTTGATCATATGAAATGTCTGTGCTCAACTTTATTAGGAAACATCAAACTGTCTTCCAGAGGCAATCCCACCAACAGTGTACTAGAGTTTTCACCTTTCCACATCCTCTGTGGCATTTATTGCTTGCTGTCCTGCTAAACTTTGTCACTGCTACTGAGATGAGATGGTATCTTATGGTAGTTTTGCTGTGCATCTCTCCTATTGCCAATGATTTTGAGTGTTTCTTCATGTGTCTGTTTGCCATCCAAATTACTACACAGCCTTCAGGAGCAATGATTTTGAAAACTACTACATAACTTGGGAGAGATTGGAGAGCATTATGCTGAGTGAACTAACTCAATCTCATAGGCACTAATACTGCATAAGACTACTATAGTAAAAATAGAAGAATAACTAGTAAAATGTGTATGGGAATCCAAGGAGAAGAGGGATGAGGATGGATAGGGGTAAAATCACAGAGTTGAACAATTTGGTAGGTAGAGCAAGGAAGGTGGTACATATCGCAAGTTTTAGTAATTTTTTCCCTTAATATTGGTGTTGTGTTGTTCTTCATATATCCTAGTCTCTCATATAACTTGCTTAGCATACAGATTTAATAAATATAGTGAATGGATACAACTCTGATAAAGACCTTTTCTAACTTTAAACCCTATGCTATCATCTCTTTGTTCTTTTTCAACAACAGTCTGTTGGTCTATATGGGTTTTGCATGAGCACCACTAAGTGTTCTAGATTTCCCGTTTTTCAAAATGCTATCCATTATTTATTATGAGCCACATAGTTGAATGCCTTTGCATAGTCCATCTTCTGCAGAAGACCTTCTTAAAACCTTTGAAAGCAAGAATTTTACTTTGAGGACTAAGGCATGCCTTACCAAAGTCTTGGTGTTTTCAATCATTATTTTTAGCATCTTTCTGATATACTTTGCTTTTAGTCAAGATCCATCTGACATCATGAATGATATCCTCATTTTACATTTTCTTCTGATTCCATCTTTTTTTTCCTATAATTATATTTTATTAATTTTCATAAACATTTACAGAGATTTTGGGTTTCCATTCATTCATTGTTGCATTATTCTCTCTACCCTCCTCCCAGTTTGTTCTTGTCCAAATGCCACAGTGCTTGTCAAAGCCAGTTCTGATTAATCTTCTTTGTCAGTGTGTCCTTTCCCATTCCCTATCACTCCTCCCTGAGAGAGACTTCACCCTGAGTCATAAGGAAAAGGGGATGACATATTCTCTTAGCTACTTCCTGCTGAAAAGGGACGCTGTGGGTTTCAGGGTGAAGATCTTCTCTCACTACTCTAAAGGGCCCCTTTGGCAGTAGGAAACACATAGACTATTATGGAGATTGATTTTGGAATTTAGATGCACTCTTATTGATTGTGCTTGGCCATACATGTTCATATCCTTGAAGATGTATCATAGGGGTGTTGCAACCTAGAAGACACAAATTTGACTAACAAGTTATAAGTACATGAGTCAAAAATTATGGAAAAGTAAAAGAAAAGATTCTTTCATTGTTTTACAAACCCTCCCCCAGGTCCTCTCCACCATGTAGCCCTCGCTCTAGACTCCTGTGATGACAGAAATACCTAGTTATATATCTCTTTTAAACAGTTTTCTCCCTCCTCTGTTTCAGTGCAGTATACATTATTGAACCCATCTTACTCAGTCTCTCCCCAACCCCAAGGACAGTCCCATTCTACAACAGTGGCATCATGTAATATTTGTCCTTTTGTGACTGGGATACTCCACTCAGCATAATGTTCTCCAGAGTCAACCATTTTGAATAATATTGCATGAGTTCCTTGTTTTTTAATGCAGCATAGTATTCCATTGTGCAAATATACCACAGCTTCTCTAGCCATTCGTTTGTTGATGGGCACTTAGGTTGTTTCCAACTCCTTGCTATTGTGAACATTCTGATTCCATCTTGAGTATCTGATCAGGACAGGCAGGGTCATTAAAACAGCACTGAATTGTGACTTTTTTTTACAGAAGTTTTCATAATTAGTATTTTTAAAAATTTTATTATTTTTGTGTGTGTGTACTATCAAATTGGATCTGACTGGTACAGGAGGAACTTGTCCCTGCCCTTCAGCAGAGCATGTGGTGGATTTGAACCAAGTGCCTCTGGAATTGAAGTACAGCTTCTTGCAACTAAGCCACGAGAGCTCCCTATGTAATTAGCTTTAATAGTCAAGTCCTTCCTTATACCTTCTTCTCTATTACCTTTATGATAAATGCCACTTTCTAGGTTGTTGTTGTTGTTATGTGCTGTCAAGTCTACTTCAAATCATAGCTACCCTATGCACCATAGCTCTAAACTATGCCCTAGCCTGAGCCAGTCTCACTGTCTCCAACACATCTACCTTCATTGTCTTAGTTATTGTGTCAATCTATATCATCCCGAGTTCTATCTCATCCCGAGTTTTTCTCTCTTGCACTGTTCCCCTATCCTGCCAAATATGATGCCAAATATGATATCCTTCTCCAAGGAATGGTCCCTCCTGGCAATGTGCCCTAGAGAGCATGTGAATCCTTGCCTCCGGAGCAACGTGTTTTCACCATCTCAGGGCATATATATTTGTTTTCTTGGCAG